ACTCCCATCTCTTTAAGAATTTGCCACAGTTTGTTGTGATCCACACAATCAAAGGCTTTTCTCATTACATTAGTTTAACCAGTGAGACAGGGCAGTACTTACTGTAGATCACAGCTCAGCTGGCGTGGTGTGCAGGTTATTACTAAAGAAACCAGCTGTGCCCATTCTTGGACTGGGAGGCCCTGCTTGTGGTCACTTACACCTTGGTCACCTCCTGATTGGACTATTGCAATGCACTCTATATGGGGCTGCCCCTAAAAACAATCCAGAAGCTTCAACTGGTCCAGAATGCAGCAGCGTAGGTAGTTACGGGTGCATCTCGTTATGCCCACATAATACTACTACTCCATGAGCTGCATTGGCTCCCAATAGGCTTCCAAGTGCAATTCAAGGTGCTGGTGGTGATCTTTAAAGCCCTACATGGCATAGGACCAGATTACTTGAGAGACCACCTTCTCCCATGAACATCTGCCTGTCCCACATGCTCCCATGGGAGGGCATGCTCTAGGTCCCTTCTTTTAACTTTTGTCATCTTACAGGACCTAGGAGGTGTGTCTTTTTTGTGGTTCCCCTGGTATCTGGAATGATCTCCTACCCCCCCACCTCAATATATGACAGACCCCAATTTTCCTTGTTTTCAGAAAAGCCCTTAAGACCTGGCTGTTCCCCCAGGCATTATGGGTTGGTTGAATGGGAGTCCCCCCTCTGAGATGGTTTTGCTGTGTACTTGGTTGCCATTTTACATTTTGTATTTATATATTGGTTTTTGTTGTTAGTTTTTTTAACTTATTGTGTGTTTATGCTGTATGCCGCCCAGGGTCACAATGACTGATTTGGGCAGCTTTATAAATCTTGAAATAAATTAAATTAAATTAAATTAAATTAAATTAAATTGCTGGATTCAAATCACCCAAAAACTGTGAAGCTCTTGGGCAATCACTCTTTTTTCAATCTACCTCATAAGGTTGTCATGAGGATAAAACTGGGTTGAGAATCCTAGTAACATGCAATGTATAACAATTCTGAAAAAGACAATATAAATAATAATGTAGAACAGTAAAGACTCAATTCTGAATTTATGAAATAAAAATACATCAAATTGTCTCAAGCAGGTGTACACTACGTATCTCTCATAAACATTTCTTTTCACAACAAGAGTTAAGGAAAAGATTTGTTAGAGACCGCCAGAAATGTGAGTCTGTTCAAAACAACTGTACAGGAAGGGAGGGGGGGCTCTTTTGATATTAATTTTTGAATGTTTAATTTAATCGTTTAAAAAGGAAAGTTTTGGACAGACTCTTGATTTTGTGTATCTTCTTCACCCGTTAAAATGATTTGCGTGAAAAAGTGCTTTAGAAATCCCGTTCACCGAAAGCTAGTTATAGGAATATGACTGATGAATTAAAAAAAAAACCCGAAAATGCAGCGTAACGACCTATGGGAATCCGAAAGCCTCATCATAGTTGCATAACCTGGAGAGCGTGGGGGAGAAAACGAGGAGCAACGCTGCTCGTTCTTCCTTTGCCGAACTTTTAGGGTTAGAGAAGTCTAATCCAGGAGGGTTCTGCCCTTCCCAAGATGGTGCCAGGGCCGGGGAATAAATAAAAAAATAAATAAATAACGCCACCACCGCGCGCGTGTACGCACTCCCAGCGCTTGACTGCTCGGGCGCGCGCCGGAGCGGCTCAGCCCTGCTCCCTACCCTGCCATGAGTTCGACCTTCCAAACATGGCCGCCACCCCATCGCTGGGCAATCCGAGCTGAAAAAAGAAAAGACGAGGAAGCGCAAGCCCAATCTGCGAAGGGCGCATGCGCCAAAGGAATTCTGCGCCTGCGTGTCGCGGCGCCCGAGTGCGGTGAAATTCGGTGAGGGGGGAGGAGATAAAGGGGGGGGGGGAAGAGAAAAGAAAGCTGAGGGGAAGGTGTCGGAGCGGCAAACGCGGGGTGAGCGGCAGCGTTGAGCGCCCCCCGCGCTCTCTCTCCCCCCACACCTGGTCCGACGCCGCTCCCGAATCCCCTCAGAGTAGTTTCTCCTCGCTCTTCCCCCTCCCCCTCATCCCCTTCCCTCCCCCCGCGGCGGGGGGA